ATAAAATCTGTCTATTTAAAAAAAATACAAACCGTATTTACTCGATTAAACGCTGCTGCATCTATTCAGTTTTTAGTGTTTCTGAAGTGGCGTTTATTCGAGAGTGGCGTTTATTGGTAACTTTGCCTCCACATGGCCCGTTCATTCCTGAGGGCAGTGCTCAATCGAGTAAATACTGCTACTAAAACGTACCCCACCAGGTCTGAAGGACAATAAAAAGCAAGACGGGAGTGAAGAATGGAGAGTCATGGAAAAGACCTGCCATACCACTTCGTACCCAAGTACGCGGCCCTACCTTTGACCCTCTTTTTTTCCAATATGGCAGCAGCACCTATGTCCCTGCATGCCATCTTGAAAACGAGAGGGTTGAGGAAGCCAGCGCTCCATGTGGATGTTTATTAGGCCATCCCCATAAAATGTTTCGTTTCCCATCGCCCTCCCTCTCGTGAAGGTGGGTCGGTCAGTCGGGCAAAAAAAAAAGAATGAACACATGATTGCATATTAAATCTCACGTTTAGTCTGCAAGATATAATCAGATGGTAAAAGATGTATATTAACAGGACTATCAAATGTCTAAAAAGGCTACAAAAACGAAGTATTGATGATAATTTAAGACAATTGGTGTTAATAAGACAAGATCGTGTGCTTGTAAATTAAAGTACTTGCTTCTTTACAAGTGATTCTGGATTTTTTTTTTACTTTTCCCAAAAAATGGTTCGGGCGGGCGATGGGAAACGAAACATTTTATGGGGATGGCCTTATAAAGACTTCAAAACAGTTACATAATACTCTTCATTTTCAGACCAGTTGTCTCACAGTTCCGTGTGAATATTTGTTCGGCCCTTTCTTATTTTATGCAATCCGAGTGGAAAAGAAACCACGTGCAACAAAGCGGATATTACACGCTTGGGTAACCTGCAGAAGCCCTCTGTTCAAAAAACATGTTCAAAACAAAAAAAGCGGACTTTGCATAACAAAATCTTTTCATTGTACGTTTTTATATTTGCTGTCTATTTTCTTTTGCTTAGTTTCTTATTCATTTTCTTTTTCTTTATTCTGAAAGAAAACTGAGAATCTTTCTACTTCAGTGTACACTATTCAAAAATTTCGCCCCATTAAATTACACGCTCGAGACAAACCCAACACGTGTCACGGTATGTAACGCCATACAAAAGAAATTTACATTCATTCTGTCTCCTCTAATCTATTATTTATGTGAAAGGTAAATTCGTTTTTTTATCTCCAGCTGCTGCAACCTCGTGACTTCACGAAGTAACAAATTCGGTTGATGCGAATCTGATTTAACTACTATTTAATTTATTTGCTAGGAAAAGCAAAATAGGGAGGACTGTTGTGAAATTAGATGCCTGCTTACCTTTGGCGGCAAATCTCTCACTAGCACAGCATATTGATAGCCCCTCCCTTGGCTAAGATACTCCTGGCGATAGACGATAAATGTTTTCCACTCCTGGTGCAAAAGGTAACAGATCACCAATGTATAAATCCAGGCGGCAACCACATGAGCCCACACTTTTGGCGACTTGGGCGTAATGTTGGAGAGGGCTAGTTTATCGAGCCCGCCTAAATCTTCTCCGCCAAAATAATTCACGGGAATAAGGACTATAATGCCGTACGGCAATAGCACCAGCGATATTTTGAAGCAAAGTTTCAAAAACCGCATGTGGACGACCGCATCGATACCCGCGTACTGAAAGACCTCTTTGTCCTTGACGAAGATCGCGGGAAAAAGCCATGAAAAGAAGGACTGCGAACGTTTTCCGGGAGCGGGGCTTTCCACCAAAAGCTGTCTTGGGGAGTAAATCTTTGGATGTTTCTGCCTTAAGAGACAAAATATGATTAAACAGACCACTGAAATGACCAAATTGAGAATAAGCGCTGACACAAACGTGTTTGTCGTGTCAGAGCCTTCCGCGGCTTCACTCGTATCGTTAGACATTTTCAAAGGCTTCTTGTAGTGTAGCTGTTAGCGGACAGCTACACCCAACACTAACAGATTTTACTAGAATGACAGGACCTCAATAAGTATTATTAATTCGTTTTGCGAAAACAATTATTCGAAGAGACAAAAAACAGCACCAGAATGGTAACCAATAGGGTAGAGTGACGACGATCACGTGACAGAAGTTTGTAAGCCCTGGCGACAGCTGATGCATTGTGAACTTGAACCTATCAACCGCATATGTGAATATTCCGTCTAGAAATGTCTGTTAAATCATAGACGGTTTTAAAGTAATAAATTACGTTCCTTTATCGAATACTTGGTGATCACCAGGGTTTGAACCAGCGATGCGAACACCAGGGTAATTTTTAAATTTATTGTAAATTGAATCCTTAAACTCTACCTTTTTTGCGACCGTTCGAAATCGCGTGATAATCATTCAATCGGCAAACAAATGGCGAGTACATGTACTTCGCTAATCTAGAACTTTACTGCTCATAATTAGAAAGAACACCACCCATTGCGTAATTCAGACACATTTTGTCTTATTAGAGAAACAAATTACTTTTGACTGAAATGAAAACGGAGAAATTGGACTTGTATTATAGTAAAGAAACTTGCTGAGTTTGTTATGATAACTCTCGAATTGCGTGACATTTTATTTCGAACGTTTGTTTCTTTATCGAATACTGGGGATCACTTGAGTTTACTAGTGTAAGGTATAAATCATTGTAAACTGAATCATAAAACTCTCAACAAAGCTCGTTGACACGAGCTTTATTGTGACCGTCCGTGATCGCGTGATTATCATTATCAGCAAACATGACAAGTACGTGTGCTTCGCTATTCTAGAAATTTACAGCTCAAAATTACCACCAGTTGCGTTTGTTCCGACATTTTGTCTCATTAACGCAACAGCTATTACTTTTGACTGAAATCAAAACAGAGAAGTTCGCTTATAGGTATACTCTAGTAAGAAACTGGGTGCATTCAAGTTGTATATTAAAGGATTGTCTCGAGGTCAATACGATCGAATTCTATCAAGTCTCAAACGATTGTTTTTTTCTTTGTCTTGCATCACACGAGGGACCTTCAGATCAGACAATGGAGACGCCAATGAAACTGTGACTGAAAAACTGACTTCCGCGTCCTTTCAAACTTCTTTCACGAATAATAGAAAGATCCAGAAAAGTTTATCGCATATCCCTTCACGTTCTCAGGAGAACTTCCAAAATATTGGCCGGGTCATTTCACATCGTCGTCGAGTATCTGCCTTGGTAAAATTTTATTCATGGTTTCTATTTTTTCCTTTGCTACGGGATTTGGTAATGCATGATAATGAGTTTAATTTTGAAAAAAAAAGGAAAGAAGGTTTAAAAAACCAAGGATAAATTTAAACCACTAAAATACACTGTAAATGACGTATGGATCCCCTTTTCTACCTTAATCCAAGCTAATCTCAAATAGGTCTTGAAGAAATTCATCAGGCTAGTGAAGTTAATATCGCTTTAAATGTTCTCAAAACATAGCCAGTCTTAACGTCTCAATGATGCTGACAGTTTCGATGACTGTCAGCCATCTTTATCAAAACTTGGAAAAAATTAAAATTTAACACCTTCAGACACTTTTAATGTTTTCCAAGTTTTGATAAAGATGACTGACAGTCATCGAAGCTGTCAGCATCATTGAGACGTTAAGACTGGCTATGTTTTGAGAACATTTAAATCGATAATCTCAAATAGTTATTTTTAGAGAACTGGCGACGGTGACGGAAAGTATCTCATAGCTTATATTTTAATCAACAAAGGGATTTAGTGATTTCCTAACAGAAACAAGAGAGAAGCAATATTACAAAATATATATTGGAATGTCGATATGACTGATATTGCTTATTCTTAACTCGTATCTTTGCACCCGTGCCTACCCACCGGTCGATGCCATGCAGTGCCAGTTCTAGTGCCCCATTCAAAAAGGACAGAAAAGTCAAAAGTCTAAATTCTTCCGATGGTTTCTATTTTTTATTATTCTTCGGTCACTTTTATTTTCTAATTATCTACCTTGTCATTTTATTTATTTATTTATTTATTCAGTCATTTATTTATTTATTTATTTTAACACAAGTTTTAGAAAGTACATGTTTGTTCGAACCGAAATACTTGGCTTATTTAAAAGTCCACAACGCGAATCGTAATGTATAGACCCCTGAATATATGGATGAAACTCAAGCTTACGACCAGCTAGCTTACGATTATCGCAGTTTTGTCATCGGAAGATACGAGAAAGAATTAATTAACGGAGCCAATTGCAACACTTACAGCCGGTGGCTGAATTGCGGAGGAACTAGGCGAACGTTCGGTCGCTTTTCGCGCGCGCTCACCCCTGGATCCCAAACCGAAAAATAAGATAAAAATGAACCACAGATGAATAGGAGGTCTACCCGCCCTACCTTCTTCGAGCAGTGGGTCCTTTAATGTCACACCTGAGCTTACCGCCCAAGGAAGCGATTAACATCATCTAAACCTTTGGCCCTGTTTACATGAAGGGAGGGTAACTACCCCAGCTCCAAGCAAAGTTAAAAGATTATACCCCAACCCTTTACACGAGGAGGGGCAAAGCTTACAAGCCCCTGTACGGCGTCTTCCCAGGCTTTCTACGTCAATGTATTTCGATGACGTATCCGAGACGAACAAATTCGCTCGGACCACGTGACCCAAAACGCTAAGGGCCGCGGGGAATAATGACGCCTAGTTACTGGGCAAGGGTAATGCAAGGTCTTGATCTTCCCGTGAATGCTAATCCAGCGTGTGATACGATGCATGCACCAAACTGGCGGACAAACGAGGGATTTTGCTCGTTAAAGCAATTAGATGCTGGGGTTCGTGTCATTTGCAACGGCGTTCAGTTATGTGGGTTTCCGCCTTTGCATATGTTTGAAAAAGACCGTCTATCTTTGCTACTATTTTAGAACAAATCCAACAAATCCGACCGTGAACTGATCACACGAGACTCAACACTCCTGGGAGGAACACCCTACATCGACTATTTACATGGCAAAAAAGGTGACCCTACTAGAACGGTTACACTAAAGGACACATAGGGTACCTCTCCCACCTCCTAGGACCTTGCCTCTAATGTAGATAAATCTAGGAAACAAAACACAGTATAAGATGACTCTTCAAGGAGGGTAACCCTCCCTCCGTGTAAACGGGGCCTTCATACACCCCGGTTGGTGGTCCCCCGGGGTATTATACATCACTCAACAGAGTCTAGCTCTACCGGCGCCTGCGTCGAAATTTGTCCCTTCGCCCTAAGAAAACCAGCACCTGCTACACAGGCTACTCTAACGGGGCCAGGTAAAGCTAAACACTACGGTCAAATTTGCAGCATGATCGGCACTAGACAGGGCCAGTTGTTCGAACGCCATTAGCGCTAACCCGGGGTTAAAATAACCCGTGTTTCTTTTTCCTTTTATAAAAAGCACTCTCTCGGATAATTTTCTTTATTCTTTTTCGAGTATTCAGTTATCTAATTGTAGGCAAAGAGAATTAAATTGACTTCACTTTTTAAGCTGTCAAATTTAAGTTCAAATTTCGCACTAACACTGCGTTATCTTGACCCAGTTTAGAACAACCCGGCCCAGGTCAGTAGTCTAAACAGGTCTCAAGGATTACTAGTTGATGCTAGTAATCTATATGACAATAATTTATAAACCTACTGTAGTTTCATGTTAAGAATATAATATTTTTCTAGGTTTCTTGATTATTAGGATGAGGAGAACCAAGACATAATTAAACACTTGCGGCATTCGAGCTAGCAATAACCGTCCAATCTGTACTTTTCGCGAGTCTTTCATTTAAAGTCTTCTGTTTCATAAACAGATTTGACAAAACCTCTCTCTTGATCCTAACCTGGCTTGTTCACCTTTTTCTTCCACCACACCGAACTAGAATGCAGCACTAGAGAAGTTACACTGAGAGGTTAACATTGTAATTACGGCCGTTTCTCCACGCTTCGGCGACATTCTGGGAAATTTAAGCAAGTTCTTCGTTTAGTGAGTCTCTTGACCAGGAAGCATCTGGTGCTACATCAGAGGATATCTCCTCGTATTCATACAAATAATCTCCGTTAAAGTACGATGTACTGCGACCATACGTTGGTGGCAACTGATGATTTCTGACATAACGTCGAGCAACATCCTGAAAAGTTAAAATGATATACCAAAAACTGTGTTACCAGATTAAATGCAAAACATTTCACTGCTGGTAATGGCCAAAGAAAAAAAAAACAACAAAACTTGAAATTTCCTTTGGGAAAATCCTCCAAATTCAGAACTACTAAGCCAAAGTTCTGCTAAAGAAGTTTCTCTCGTGATTTATACAATTCGCCCCCATGTATAAAGGGAATCCAAGACAGTTTTGGATTCTGGAGTCCACGCAGTGGATTCTGGATTCCAGGTACCGGATTCCGGTCTTTGTCACTGAAACTTGGATTCTGGATTTCAATCGTTAGAAGTATTCCGGATTCCAAAGCCCAGAATTCCAAATTTTCCACGAGGAAAATGTTTTCGAATTCCGGAATCCGGATTCCCTTCCAGGGGCGATAGAATGCCACTTGTCGTCCCATGTTATGTAATCTGATTCCGGAATTCGGAAAAANTGCTACATCAGAGGATATCTCCTCGTATTCATACAAATAATCTCCGTTAAAGTACGATGTACTGCGACCATACGTTGGTGGCAACTGATGATTTCTGACATAACGTCGAGCAACATCCTGAAAAGTTAAAATGATATACCAAAAACTGTGTTACCAGATTAAATGCAAAACATTTCACTGCTGGTAATGGCCAAAGAAAAAAAAAACAACAAAACTTGAAATTTCCTTTGGGAAAATCCTCCAAATTCAGAACTACTAAGCCAAAGTTCTGCTAAAGAAGTTTCTCTCGTGATTTATACAATTCGCCCCCATGTATAAAGGGAATCCAAGACAGTTTTGGA